ATATTTTATAGGTATTTTGAAAGTGAAGGGAGATTGGAATAAAGGAATGCTGAGTAACAATAATAATTATAATATAATGATCATTTTTTAAATGCAATAAATACACTGAAACATTATTCTATTTAGGCCACACATGACCACATTTTACAGATGAAATATAATATAATCTCCAATATTAAAATTCCTCCTTTTGACTTTGTGTATAATCCCAGATTTTTCATCTTGTCAGATATTTCTTTAATCAAGACTGAGACCAGTCTCCTCATAATTAAATAAGGAAATACAGATCAAGGTTCAAATCATTTTATTTACTATAAGTCCCTGGAGATGGCTGGAGGTTTTCTAAATATTTGCCTTTCCTGTTTAGACCACTGTATAATTAGGTTCAATAATGTGTAAAGTCTCTAGCAGATAGGAAATATAACTAAATCTCCTTTGACTTAAACAAATTTTGTGGTTTTTGGAATCAACTGACTTGCATTGACCTACACTAAAACAATTATTCTCCATACGTGGTCCCTCTGATACATGGTCCCTCTGTCTGAGAATAATCTAATTATTGCTGAAAATATGAATTGGCAAGTCACACTGCATACCTACAGAAATTAAAACACACAATCTGATAGAAGGTCCAAGAATCTGCTCATTCAACAACCTCTGCAGGCGGTATGTACTTTAATGTTTGAGAATTCTTGGAAACTGTTTCTTAAACATGTACAGTAAGAACAAGCAAGTATGAAATATTACCTATATGCAGAAAGAAGATAACTATTTAGCTTTATTCCAAATTTGAAAGTGATGAATATTACATTCTTAGCAAGTAGGCTGAATTCTACTAATTTCTTCCACAAGTGCTATTAAAGTAAATCAGGAAAATCGTATGTAAAGACCTAAGGCAGTTGATGGTTAAAATAATAACCCAAAGTATTATAACCCACTTTTCAACATATTCTGATTCATGACTTTAGAGTCAACTTGTGTTCAACCGAAAGACAATTGTTAGAGATGAAATTTCCACATACTAGCGGAAAAGTCTCTACTAATTATATTTTGTAAAGGGCTTTTGAAGCTTCTTTCCTTTCTCTACAGAGAATCAGATAAAGGTGCATCTGATAGAGTTTTACGGTATGGCTATTTCAGGAATTTGACAAGAAAATATAAAAATTTATTTTCATTAAATTTTACCTGGGAACAAATAATTAGTCTGTCTTGACTTGACCAGATA